CTGCAGGACAGTTTGAGCATGAAGATGTTGATCACTGAAAGTGATCTGTATTGTTTTAAGATTCTGTTCATTGGGCTGGGGAGATGGCTCAGTAGAATAAGCGCTTGCCTGGCAAGTACAAGGGCCTGAGTTCAATCCCCGGTTCTGCCAAAAAAAAAAGATTCTGCTCATTACTGTAAATGAGAACTTGGTGGCTCTTCCTTCTGAAGAGAGGTTAATGAAAATCTTTCTCCTTCTCTAAAACTTACATAAGCCAGTTCTTCCTCAAGATAAACTATACTGAGACAGCAAGTTGTCACCAGCAGAAGAAACAATGAACTTTATTACCAAAGGCGAATTAACTTAACCACGGAGATATTTGTAGCCTATCATTTACTTTCTAACTTTGTGTCTAGGTACACACTGACTAGGCCTGTAATTCCTGCCTTTGCTGTATACGTTGTCCACACACTAGCAGGAACTTTGCAGGAAAATTGGCTGAAGTTACAGAGATGTTGTGGGGAAAGAGGGGATGCAGGTCTTTGGGCTCTAGAATACCCTTATCCATAAAAGACAAGGCAGAGGTCTCAGAAGCGGCAGTCTCTTATCATTCTCCACAGGGACAAGCAGCTCACTAATCTGGGGGAGATTATTTCAGACCTCTCTAGGTGATCTCTTGGGGAGCATCCCAGTTGCAGATCCCACCCTGGTATAAGTGCTTCTGGGTAGCTTCTGCTCCTTCCTCCCTGTTCTTTCTGGTCTGCTTTGTTATAGCCTCTTAGGTTATACCCTTAATTTCTACCTTCTTAGGTTAGTTTTCTGTAAGTGAACTGGGATGATAAAGTACTCTTGATGATAATTGTTTTGTCTTTGTAAGAACTTAACAAATAAATCTAGGTTTTCTATATTAAAAAAAAAAAAAAAAAAAAAAAAGTCAGATAAAGACATTATAAGAACATTTTACATACAAATACTGAGGGGAAAAAATCTTCATGAGGGCTACAGAAATAGCTCAGTGGCATAAACACCTGCCTGGCGAGCAGAAGGTCCTGAGTTTGGTCCCAGTGTTGCAGGCCGTGCCAGCCCCAGAGCCAGGTGTGGTGGTGCACGCCTATAATCCCAGCACTAGGGAGGGTGTGACAGGCCGCTCACTACTGGTCAGTCCTTTTCTCTTTTGTTTTTTTGATACAGGGTGTAACTATGTAGCCCAGCCTGGCCTCAAACTAATAATCCTCCTTTCTCAGCTTCCCAAATGTTAGAACTGCAGACATGCTCCACCATGTTAATTAAGTACTGACTATTAAAAGATTTGCCAAGACAAAGTGAGATTTATTCCTAGAATGCAAGAATGATTCAAAATACAAACACTTGATTCAGGGCTGGGGATTCAGCTCAGCAGTAGAACGCTTGCCTAGCAAGCTGGAAGCCCTGGCTTCAGTCCTCAGTACCAAAAACAAAAAATAAACCTCCCCTAAACAAACAATTCAACCAGGTCAGCTAGATAGCTTTGCAGATTAAAGCACCTGCTTAGGGGCCGGGGAGATGGCTCAGTAGAAAAAGCGCTTCCCTGGAAAGCGCAAGGGCCTGAGTTCAATCCCCAGTTCCACCAGACAAAAATAAATAAATAAACAAAAAATAAACCTCTCCTAAAGCACCTGCTTAGGCAGATGTAGGGATTGGGGTTCGATCCCCAGCATGCTATGCCAGCCCTGCCCCCAGGGTGTGCTGAGACAGCCATTGAGACTAGGTGTGGTGGTACATCCCTGTTAATCCCAGCACTTGGGAGGCTGAAAACAGGAGGATCCAATCTGTGTAGTGAGACACTGTATTAAATACATTAAAAAAAAAAAACCAAAAAAAGAAAAATACAATAAAATCAAACACTTGATCCATAGACACTACCAACATAAAAGAAAAACGCTTACAAACATTTTAAGTGATGCAGAAAAGGCACTAACAAATTTTTCAACTCCCTTTCAGGATTAAGAAAACCCTAAAAAAGAGAGGAAGGAAACTTAATATGATAAAAGTTGCATATAAAAAAATCCACAGCTCAGGATGTGGTGACACACGTCTTGTATCTCAGCTACTTGGGAGGCTGAGGCAAGAGGATTACAAGTTCAAGGACAGCCTAGGCAACTTAGTAAGACTGTCTCAAAAGAAAAAAATAAAAATTCTGGGATGTAGCTCAGTAGCAGAATGCTTGCCTGTCATGTGTAAGGTTCTGGGGTCAATCTCAGGGTGTGACCTTCATGTATTAAAGGGTATTATTAGGAAAGTTATTATTATATGAATGAACCCTGGAGAAACCACAAGAGGCAGAAGCTTCTTGCGCGTAAGCAGCAGGTAAGCACTCGCAGACAGCATCTCCTCACAGAGCTGCTCCCTCTCCACACGAGGCCGCCCCAGAAGCCCATGACGAGAGGACAATTCTGGGAAGGCACCCTGCCCCACGCCTGCTGGGAACACCACCTGGCTGCCTGTCCTTCCTCTCCTCACGTAGGACAGGGAAAATGGCTCAGGAGACCAGCGCAAAGGAAGGAACGTGGGGCTGAAGGAAATAAACCGAGAACACACCCCAACCCGGGGCTCTGCCAAGCTGGGGCTACTCTTCAGGTTCAAAAATATGAAAGACAGCGAGCTGTGGGGCAGACCTGTAATCCCTGCACTGGGGAGGCTGAGGCAGGAGGATCACTTCAGGTTTGAGGCCAGCCTGGATCACTTCAAGTTTGAAGCCAGCCTGGGCTACAAAGTGAACTCAAAGCTACTCTGAACGGCATAATGAGACCGTCTCAAAAAGAAAAAAAAAAAAAAAAAGACACAGAGTGTGATCCAGCAATTCCCTGCTGGGTGTATACCCAAAAGAAGTCACAGCAAAGCCTCAAACAGCTGTTTTTATTTCCATGTTTACAACAGTATTATTGACGGCAGGCAAAAGTCAAAAGCAACCCAATTATTCATCAGTAGATGAGCGGATAATCAAAATGCCTTAAAAACTGATGAAATTAGCCAGGCATGGTGGTGCACACTCAGGAGGCTCAGGCAGGAGGTTTCTTGTGAGTTTCAGGCCAGCCTAGGCTACAAAGCAAGCTCAAAGTCAACCTGAACTGCTTAGCCAGACCTAAAATGTGATGAAATTCTGACACCTGCTAAGTATATGGATGAATGCTTAAGACACTAGACTAAATGAAATACTATATAACTCGACTTACGTAAGGCTCCTAAAGTAGTCAAATTCACAGCCACAGGCACCACAGTGCACCTCAAAGGAAGAGAAGAAGGCATGACAAGTTACTGTTTCAATACTCTTCTGTTCAGAATAATGAAAAAGTTCTGAAAATAGACTGGTGTGATTACAATGTAGATGTCCTTAATGCTGTTGGACTGTACACTACAAAATTATAAATTTTATGCTTTACTACCTTAAAATTTATTTATTTATTTTTGTCTTTTTGAGACAGTCTCATTATGTAGTTCAAGTTGGGCTTGGACTCACTTTGTAGCCCAGGCTGACCTCGGACTTGCAGCAATCGTCCTGCCTCAGCTTCCTAAGTGCTGGGATTACAAGTATGTATGTGCCACCATACTCAGCTCTTACTACAATTTTTAAATTAAGAAAAAAATACCAAGTCCTATTTGCAGGAGAATCTGTGCATGCATCCCTGGTACAGGGGAATGAATCTAGGGGCTGTGCATCCAGCTACATCCCCAATGCTGAACCTCTACCAATTTTTTTGAGTCGAGTCTTTTAATTTGTAATTCTCCTGCCTCAGCAGGTGAGCTTTTCTGAGCGCCAGGAACATCCTTCCCATCACAGTGAGTTAAGAGGCTGCTAGCTTTTCCTTTATATTCACAGCTTAAACTCAGCCCTAACAACAAGCTCTCTAAGGTAAATAAGCAGTTGCTTCTGGGGCTGGCACTGCCTGGGCAAGTGGGCAGTACCCTTTTGAGCTTCCCTGAGACCAGGCATTAGGAGGGTAGCGGTTTGATGTGCTGCATAGCTGCCAAAAAACGCAGAAGCCAACCGGGCCAGCTTTCACTCTTGGTTACTTCCCCTTTTGCTTTTCCACAGGGCACAGCTAGGACGAAGGAAAATGGGCCAGACTAAGCAGCCTGTGGTTTTTTTTTTTTTTTTTTTTTTTTTTTTTTTTTCAAATTGGAAAGTATCCCCAGGTCCCTGCCACTTTTGGAAGCTCTTGCATATTTAAAATTCTTTTTGCTTAGTAAAGGACACTGTTTGGGCCCAATCAAAGATAAAACAACCTTCTGCTGTGGGCTCTGACATCTGGTCTCCGAATAACCTGAGGATAGCAGGATAGCGAAAGGGCAGGGCTTATTACTCCTACTTCTGAAGGTTCAAGCACAGAGGAAGCAAAACTGTTGCAAGTTCCACTGCCTCCAGTAACCAGGCAGGGTCTGTACGTGGGGAGCGTCAGTTCTGCTTCTGCACTGCTTTGGAAAATAACTGAAGCAGAAATGGATTCGCAGCATTTTGGTTCCAAAGGAAGGCGAGAGAAAATGCTTCTGAATCTGGCAACTAACAGGATTGGTGGCCCCACCCCGCAGAAGCATCTGGGGAAGAAACATGCAAGCTTCTTTTTCCTTCCCAGCCATAAACCCTCACAATTTTTCTTTTGGATTTTTGCATTCTACAATAGGGCGGGATTTGTCACTCAGGAAATCTAGTGTAGGAAATTTAACGGAACAAATCACGTCGACTCCAGCACGCATCTAGAACTGAAAGGAGCCACAAGTAGAACGGGAGAAACTACACTTCCGGCAGCGCGCAGTGCGCGCCCCCGCACCCCCCCCCGCACCTCCGCAGGCGCTACTATGGCACCGCCCCGGAAGAGCCAGCCCCACAGCGCCAGATACAGTAGGCGGGCGTCTCTCTCCGCGCATGCGCCAACCGCCCACGCATACGTGCCTCGGAAGCAGTAGTTTCTCACTAGTCTTGGCCCTCCTTTCTGAATCCCAAATGCTGGATGCTTTGGCTCTGTCCCTCCATTCGCGTTCCTTACCTTGCGCCCGGTTTTCTCCCGTAGTGCCTTCAGCCGTTCTTTTCTCCGCAGCGCCTCTTCCTCTAGCCGGCCCACACCGGCCGCAGTGGCCGCCATCTTGCCCGGGACCCGCTCCTTCCCCCCCCCCCGGTCGCGCGAGATCTCACGGCCAATCCAAGACGAGGATGGATGCACGGGAACCGCTTCAGAGCCAATCAATGCTGACATGCTTTCGGAGAGCGAGCAACTCGCCGAGCGATGCTGGAGCCTAAAAAACAAAAACAAAAAAACCCTGCTAAGACTCGATTTATCCAACGCTAATCAGCTTCAACAGCGAGTGAAATCAGACCTAAAAAAATGAAAACAGAGTGCGTCGATTGCTCCTGGTTTGTCTAAGAAATTATCTCTCCTTTCCTGCTGGCCCCTTGACTACGCTGACCCAGCTTTACCCATCTGTGGTGGCTCTTGAGATTCGAATGCGTTGAGCCTAGGGTGGTGGCATATGCCTGTAATCCCAGCATTTAGGAGGCTGAGGCGGAAAGATCTTGAGTTAAAGGTCAGCCTGAAATAAGTAGCAAGACCGTACAAAATAAATAACAAAAGAAATATTCCTTAATCCTCCACTCTGATCCCACCCTAAAGAGGTCTACCTTATCCTCCGGTACATCTCACGTGATCTCGTACTCCTAAACCCCTCCAGGTTTTCTTAGCCCAGACAAAACCTGCATAGAGTGGGACCTAGCAGGCATAGCCTTTTTATCTAAAAAGTGGCGTGGGCTTTATAGATCTCTCCTGTCCCCCTCTCTTTCCCACTCTTCTACTCCACGGCAAAGTACTCAGGGTCAAAGACCTTCTCTGGAGATGAGCCAACTTCACCCTGGGTGAGTGGGCCCCAGCAATGAGACCGTCCACCCCACTCGAGTTCAGAAAAAGTTGGTCTGGCCTGGCCTGCGGCGGTGGCCCCGGGGTGCACGGCTGCCAAGGTCCTTAACCTGCTTTGATCTCCTGCCTTGGTAACAGGGAACACTACAGTCAGGATGTAGGTCTCAAGACCTGCACCCTTCTAGAAGGAGGAGGCCATGCCTCTTTCCCCTGCCCATCTTTCCCAGAACCGCAGCCCTTCACGAGCTGTTCTCTGCTCCTGACCTTCAGAAGCTCAAAGGCTGCACACCAACCTGTTAGTCCACCTCCCTTGCTTTTTTTTTTTTTTTTTTTTTTTTTTCTCGATACCGGGGATTGAACTCAGGACCCTGCACTTGCCAGGCAAGTGCTTATTCTACTGAGCCCAGCACCCCCACCCCCCACCCTGCACCCCGCACCCCGGACCCCATTCCAACAGTGGCTATAGGGCCCTGCCAGAGCCTGGTGCGGGCGGTAGATGCTCAGGAAATGTCATCACCGAGTTCAGAGGGAGGAGCAAAGGCCAACTATTTGGAAGCTACCCAAGAGCAAAGGGAAAGGGCAGGGATGGGGGCCCCGGGCCAGTCAGTTCCTAGGACCCAAGGCACCTCTCTGGGCCTGGTAACTCCCCTTCCCAAGTAGAAAGGCCTGACTCCTGCCCCATGGCAGGAAGGGAAGGGGAAATGGACACAACAGCTATGAGGACTGTGGCCCAGCAGTCCTTTAGGCCTATGTCACTGTCCCTGCTGCCCTGTGAGCCTCAGTTTGTTTGTTTTCCTCAGTTTTTTCATCTGTAAGGCAGGTCGGAGGTACCCACCCAGGGACTGAAGGAGCCTAAGGCAGGCCCTGGTTCACGTGGGGGATTGCCTCCGCCACACCTGGGGAAGATTCCTGGAGGCACAGACTCACCCCACATGGGTGTTCTGGAGCCTGCACACCCACGAGAAAGCCATTTTAGGCTCCTTCTGTCCTGCTTGGTCCTATAGCTTGGTCCTCTTACGCCCTCACATAGCATAGCTCAAGTGGCCTTCAGTTCTTTCCAGAAAGCTCCTGGAGCCAGGCTTGGTGACAAGTATCTGTAATCCCAAGACTCTGGGAGACAGAGTTAGGACGATGCAAATTTGAGTTCAACTTGGGCCATTTTGGGAGACCCCCATCTCAAAAATAAGTTAAAAATAAGAATAAAAAGTGCTGGAGGGGTAGCTCAGTAGGAGGCCTGGGCTCAATCCCTCACTACCAGCGAGAAGCCTAGAACAGGACTCTCTCAGGGAGCGCGACCAGTGGCCGGTACAAGAGGTGGACGGGTGTCACCAGTGTCTGGGGCCAAGAGGCGGAGTCTCCCAGACTAAGGGCGGAGCCTGCCCCTGGAGTCCATGCTCTTCTCTTAGATGACCCGGGTTCCTCAACTCCCACGAGCACGCGCGAGCGCGTTCTCGCCTGGCCCGTCCGGGGGGCGGGACGGGAGGCCGAGGCAGGAGGAGGCGGGGCGCAGGGCGGCCGCGGCGTGCAGGGGACCGGGTGCGGACTTCCCCGGCGCGCTCCGCCCCTGGGCCTGACCCAGGGCAGCCGGCGGGCGGCGCGGAGGAGGCGGCGACAGGTGGCGCGCGGCGGGCTGGAGCCGGGTCGGGCCATGGCCGCCTCGGAACGGCTCTACGAGCTGTGGCTGCTGTACTACGCGCAGGTAAGCCTGCGTCCTCTCGCGCGCCCGCTGCACCTGCGCCCCGCGCCGGGGTGTGTCCGGCCTTGCGCACACGTGCGTGCCTGATCCGCGCACGGGTCCCGCCTGGCCTGTGTCGTGTCGTGCCGGCCGGACACCGACTTTGTACAGCCGGGGACACTGAGGCCGGGGACACAAGGCTGGCCAGGTGGAGAGGGAGGGATGCGATTTGCATCTGGGCGCCCTAGGTGGGGTGATCGTGGCTAAAGGGCCGAGGTAGCCGGAGTACCCCCTATCCCGTTGGGCAGGGAGGTGCGCCCCTGCTGCAGGGGGGACCCAGTTCCGCACACGCTCCCTAAAGTTGGAGTGACCGGCTTCTTCCACCCACCTTGTTCTGGTGGGCTGGGGGGGGGGAATCTTTCAGGGACTGTCTTGCGTGGCTTCTGAGGGTGAGGGCAGTGATCAGACTGCCCCTCAACTCTGTCACATTCCTGTCTCCACGCTTTCCTCGGCGCTGGCTGCGGGGAGGGATCCAGGCAGGGTGAACTTTCCCTCCCTGCACCTGCCTGGTGGGAGAGCTCCTGGCCCAGGTGTGCCCGGGACACAATGGGCCATTGTGCACCCTAGCGGTGTGTCACTGGAGGAAGTTCAGGCCGAACCTGCGGTTCCTGGGGCCGATGGCCTCCCGGACACTCAGAGCCCAAGCCAGATGGGCCAGGGCCCCTTTGGTGGGGGGCTCAGGTTGTGACAGGTTCAGGCCTCCAGGGGGCAGTACCTGAGGTCGAGCCCCTCCTGGGGTCCTAGGTCGAGGTCTGGGCACCTCTGTTCCCCCACAAGGTTCTTGGACTTTGAAGAGGGGTAGCCACCGTGGCGGGTGCACAGCAGAGCAGGTTCCAGCTCCCGTAGCCCCTTTGGGTCCTGAGGCCCTGGCCTTTCACTATCTCCAAGAGCTGGCCTTAGTGATGGAGTGAAGGATTTGGAGGGAAATCTACCCTTGGCCTGTCCAAGTTACACTGTGTGGGGGCAGCCTTCTGGTCCTCAGTTTCTCCACCTGTGGCCAGGTAAAGAGGAGCCAGGAAGGTGATGCGTGTTGTAAGCAGTGTTAATGATTGGTGTTCCTGAGATTGGGCTGCTGATTTCCCTGTCTCTCCTAGCTGTCACCCCGCCCAGTGTGTCCCCAGCCCCTCACCTCCCAAGGCTGTCCTAGGGCGCAGGCTATCTCCTAGTATCCTGGGCAGGCAGGCAGGGGGCAGCCTGGGGCTGGGCAAACAAATCCAGGATGTAAGAGTCACCCGGAGCCGGGTGGGGCAGCCACGCCACTGGCTTTGGGAGAGGAAGCCTGGCAGCCTCCCTGTGCTGCCTTCCTTCTGGCTCCCAGGCGCTGTCCCACCCTCGGTGCCAGGACCAGGTAGGATGGGAGAGCCCAAAGTGTGCAAGGAGATGGGTGGCCAGGCGGTCAGCACAGCCCAGACAGCCACACCTGTGCCCCTCCCTTTATTCGGAGAGCTGACCTCAGCTGGCAAACCTGTTTCCCCAGTCTGGGTTTGGGTGAGGACCAAGGGGAGTGCCCCCCCTTCCTGTCCTTCCTTTTCCCTAACAGACCCTGGGTTTGCTGTCTGCTCTCCTGGGGGTGAGAGGGGTGGAGGGACTGGGGATTAGGGCTCCCCAAGGGCCCTAGTGGGGAAACCAAGGCAGAACAAGATCGCAAGAATAGCTGCTTTAGCTAGAAAAAGCTTAGCCTGGCAGGTGGGAAGCCTCAGGTGGGACACACACACACACACACACACACACACACACACACCCGTCCCTCTGCTGGAGCTAAGGATACTTTGGTCCTCCCTGAGCAAGCAACGCTGCCACCTTCCTGCCCTTCAATCCTTGGGTATGCGCTGAATTACAGACAGGAATTAGGCCCCGGGGCAGTGACCAGTCCAGGAAACCATCACAGAGAAGGTGAGGGGACAGGAATGGCTACAGCAAGCACATGGCAGTGGGAAACAGGAGCAGGCCCTGTGGATAGGCAGGGACACTTAAAGGACTCTGGGGGCTGAGGTGCAGCTGGTGGTGGAGCACTTGCCTAGCACAGCAAGGCCCTGGGTCCCATCCCCGGCCCTGCAAAGGAGGACGACAAAGGACTCTGGAGCCACCAGAGCTTTCTGGAAAGAGGTAGGAAGGGTGGGACGGGACAGGGCTGGAACAGCATCTGCCCGGAGGGCACAGGGGCAGTCGGCTAAAGCATATGCAAATCAGCATCCCCTTTCAGGCTGGAGACCAGGTATTTCCCAGCAAAGCTGGGAGCACCCAGGTTACAGGTGATCCCCAAGGGGACCCTCCAGCTGTGCCACTGTGGAGATCAGGTCAGGCCAGAGCTGACTTGTCTTGCTCACCCCTGTTGCTTAGCTCTGCCCCTCTTTCTAGGACCTAAGCTGGGCTTGTTCCTCCCTCGGCCTCAGTTTACCATCTTGAAATAAAGGGAGGTTGCAATTTGGTTTCTCCTCTGGCCTCTGTTGCCAAGAGAGAGAGGATCAGGAAAAGGGGCCATTAGCGCTAAGCTGGGAGATTAGGAGGGGTGCTGGGAACCTCTGAGGATATAGCAATTGGGGAGCTGATGGGAGGTGTGGATTCCCCATGGAAACAGGGCCAGTTACTATGGAGAACCTAGTAGGAGACTTTCCCAGTTTCCACAGTGATAGGGAAA